TGTGTGTGTGTGTGTGAAGGTTTATCATCATGTGTAAGACATATGAGCAGGTGTGCTGAACAGTAGAGCGTGAGCAAAATCAGAAGGGCATGAAACATATAGACACATAACGTGTCCATGTGCACAATTGACAATTTATGGATTCACTGACAGGACCGTGTGTTATTTGCTTCAGTGCAGAGGCTGTTGGCGCATGATTGATTCACAGGAGCTGTTGTTTATCAGGCCACCACTAAAACCAGTACAGATTTGAGCACGCAGATCATAAGATCATAAGAAAATTGTCACATTTACAAAGCGTTCCCACCAATTAACATAAGCATCAAAACAACACTTTGAAAAACACAGCGAGACATCCACATGTTGCCAATCACGGTCTTCTCACAAGCGACCAGCACAAAAGCGTGACTCATGCCGATTAAATAGTTACCAAGGACATGGTGTTTTCAGTCCTGCTGCTTTGTCTATTTGTCTTAGTTAACAAAAAAGTCTCAAAAGATATTGAAAGATTTATGACAAATTTGGTGAAAAGTTACAAGTAATTAGTTATTGGAGCAGGAACACATTTATTTAACTGCTTTTTTAAAATGATATGATGGGGCCATTTCTCCATGCACCATGCAGAATCACAATATTGTGTCATATGTATCCAATGGTTGTATTTCACTGGTATGTGTATTTTGATGCAGTGCAAGTGTCTTCTGTGTTACTAAAACAGTACATTTGGGTTGGGGTAGGCATAAAGAAAAAAAACAACTAATTTATTCCAACTATCCAAACTGTCCCTGTCAACTGCTGCTTAACTGGCTTTCTCAATTGTCATAAACTTTTTTATCCTAATCAAAATACTTTTTATGACATTACTTTTTGGTAAGTAATGTAATAAAATACAATTTCTTTAAAAGTAACGTTTTCTGTTACTGTTCAACCCCGCTTGCCCCCAAGAAAGAGAGAAACTATGATGATGGTTTTAGATTATTTTCTGCAGGCTAGGATTTGTCATACCTTGTGATTCTGTAATGAAATTGAGACTCCAGTGGAAGGCTCTATTGTGAGCTGAATAATGCATGTGGGCTCACTGTGTCACCCTGTGTTTTTAAAACAAGCCGAGGACTGCTTGCCCTCCCCCCCCTTCACCCAACTGAGCATAAACACTGTTAGAGCAGACCTGAGGATGAATCATCCAAATCTCAGTCCATTCACTGCAGAGAGAGCACCAAAGGCCTAATGGATTCCTAGCGTCTCTGTCAAGAAGTCGTCCTCTTGCTTTACCCAACAGCTGTAGGATTACATGAAGGCTTGCCCCAACAGTTTGTAAAAATCATTTAATTCTATAGGACTGATATTTAATTGTCAGTGGAACTATGAATTTATTTCTTTGTTTAAAAACACTAAAAGTGTTTACTTCATTATAGATACAGTAAAGGCCATCCATCCAACATTGCTATATTTATTCTTTATTATAAATATGGATATTGACACATTTTACTAGCTGATACTAATAAAAAGCGCATTGTCCGTACTGGATACCCGCTTCAGCCGAGCACTCACTCAACCCTACTATTTACACACATTCACACAAAGACAGTCTCTTGTACTGTTGATCAATGAACAGTTTAACCAAAAATTTCAAATCTTTCACAAGTTCTTAGCTACACAACAGCACCCATGTTGCCAGTTCCCCTTCCAGGCCTTGCTCAAGAGCACTTCAGCAGAGCAGACTCTTTCCGTCAAGAGGAATTAAGCCCAAGCCATGCACTTGAAGGAATGTCTTCATAATTACTATGCCATTCTGCTGCTGCTGCTGTTATCATTTTACATTTCACTGTTAATATCACGGTATCAGTTGGACCATCAAACTGTTAAAAAGCTCTTTATCAGCAGTTTTTCTGGAGGTTGCAGGACGGTTACGAAGCCCACACAGTCTGGACAGGGGAGCTGAATAATACAGTTACATAAATGCTTCCATATGTACTGTACACATACTGTGCAGTACACATGATTTAGGGAAATGTTTCCTTCTACATACTGAAAGCTACTAGACCATTTCAGGACATGCAGTATCCCCCTCCAAAAATTGTTTAGAAAACACACACACAAACACACCTCTTTCACTGTCAGAAGCTACAGTAATGGTGCATGGCAAAATCAGAGTTTAAAAAAAAAAGGGTCAAACTGGTATCAATTTGGCGTATTTTGGTATTTATAGTAACAGGCAAGTTCATTGTTGACAAGATTATCTTTCAGTTCCAATGGGTGGTGTGGTAATCTGACTAACAAAAGATTGTTTTTTCTCTCTCCTTCCTTGCCTCAACTCTGCAGCATCACTGTGGGATTTTTGGGGAGAGCAAATGGACAGAAGAGGAAAAAAACGCGCAGATGAAGTGAAAGCAATGAAGAGGGGGGGGAAGTATATTCCCTGGCCAAATCGGATTGGGGCAGTTTGTCGTCACACAAAGGCTACCGTTTCTTGGCACCACAACAGTAAATGATGTTTGGCAGGCACATCCATACTACTGGCTATCGTTCATACACGCACACACACACACAGACAGACACACACACACACACAGGCGCCCCTCTTTCCTACCTCACACCAGGCACAAAACCTAAATACTCTCTGCGTATGTGTGAATTCATATAAAGTCTAAAATTACTTTCTCAGTGAATGAGAAAGTGAAATACAATATAGATGTCATTCATTTTCCTTTTCAGAAAATGAGAAACACACTCTACACACACACACACACACACACAAGCAGTGAAATCTCTCTCTTGCAATGCCATTACCGCGATTTCCACATAGCTTCACCGCCACAAAGCCAACGTTTCTGGTGCACACACAACTAGGTTTCACATGCATCAATAATTCAGCCGC